CTCTCAGTTCTATTTCATGGATGTATATGTCTGTCCTTATGTTTGTACCACACAGTCATGATTACTGCAGCTTTGCATTAAATTCTGAAATTGGGAAGTGTAAGTCCATCAACTTTGTTCTTTTTCAAGATTGTTTTGGTTAGTCTGTGCCTTTTATATTTCCATATAAAATTTTAAGATCAATTTATCAATTTCTACAAAGCAAGAAGCTGATGCCTGCTAGGGATTGTCTCGAATCTGAAAATCAATTTCAGGAGTATTGCTATCCTAACAATATTAAGTTTTCCATCCATGAGTATGTGATATCTTTTCATTTGTTTCAGTCTTCTTTTTTTCAGTGAAGTTTTGTTGTTCACAATGTACAAGTCTTGTTACAATCGGTAGCTAGTCAGACATGAACGGGGCAGGAGATACCAGGAAGGTCAGGCAATCATCAGGTGACTGTCAGGCAGTTCTTAATTGTCTCTCTCAAATAATAATCAGTCACAGCCAGCACCAGGGAAAGACAGCCTCTCAATAGATAGAAAAAAACCTGGAACTGGGTGACCAGCAGCTTCCCAAAAACATCTCAGGAGTTGGGCAAGTGGGCTTAATCATGCACAATAAGAGACAAAATGGTGGCGTTTAACTGGTACATCACCTTCCTCTAGAAACTGGTAAGGGAATGCCTCAAGTGAGCATGTGCACAATTTCAGTAAACATACTGCGCAGGCAGCCACCGTGTGCTTGCAGATAGCTCAGCCCAAGGGAGGAATCAGGGGAGAAGTAAGGCAAGACCCTGAAAGTACACCAATGTATTAAAAACCCCAAGTCAAAAGGTCAAACGGTGCACTTGATCTCTCAAGTTCCCTGCTTGGCCCTCTTCGAAGTGTACTTTACTTACTTTCATTCCTGCTATAAAGCTTTTAAATAAACTTTCACTCCTGTTCTAAAACGTGCTAGATCTTTCACTCTGTCTTATATCCCTCAGTTGAATTCTTTCTTCTAAGGAGGCAAGAATTGAGGCTGCAGGGATTAGCCGCTGGTAACAGTCTTACATTTCTTTTGTTAGGTTTATTGCTAAGTATTTTATTGTTTCTGACACCTTTTTAAATCTAAGAAACATTTATAGTCTATGCTCTCTAAAGCCTGCTACCCAAGGGCTTCATCAGCATGATAAGAACGTTGGTATTCATAGTCACTTATCCTTATCCGGACATTTCCTTTCTGTTGATCTCAATTCTTAGACAAACGCTTTCAATCAATTGCCAATGAGAAAATTTTTGAATCCACCTATAACCTGGATGCTCCCTCACATTCTTTCCACTTGTCCAGCCTTTCCCAACCACACCAATGTACAGCTTACATGTATTGGTTGTTGTCTTATGTCCCCCTAAATGTATAAAATCTAGTTGTGGCCTGACCACCTTGGGCACATGTTCTCAGGGTTTCCTGAGTGCTGTGTCATGGGCTATGGTCACTCACATTTGGCTCAGAATAAATATCTTCAAATATTTTACAGAGTTTGACTTTTTTTGTTGACATCTTGTATCCTGAAACCTTGTTGAACTTGTTAATTAGCTCTAAAACTGCTTTTTGAATGCCTTTATATATATAAAATGTTATGAGCAAAGATAGTTACTCCTATCCAATCCAGATGCCTTTTATCATGTTTTCTTCCTTAATTGCTCTTACTGAAATTTGCAATACGTTTAACAGAAGCCCTGGAGAGAAAAAAATCTTTACCTTATTCTTGCTTAGGAAGAGAACAATCAAGTATGATAACTGCGGAGTTTTCAGAGCCTTTACCAGATTGAGGATACTTTTTTCCATTCCTACTTCATTGTCTTTTTAATTATGAAAGAGTACTAGATTTTGTCTAATGCATTCTCTACATCTATTAGAGATGATCATGCAGTTTCTCTTCTTTATTCTACTAACCTGGTATATTTTGTTGATTGACTTTAATGTGTTAAATGACCTTGCATTCCTGAGATAAATCCCACTTGATCAAGGCATATAATCCTTCTCACATGTTGCTGGATTCAGTTCAGTTGTTTGTGGTTACTGTTGCTGCTGCTGCTGCTGTTGTTGAGACAGTCTCACTCTTGTTGCCCAGGCTGAAGTGTAATGGTGCGATCTCGGCTCACCACAACCTCAACCTCCCAGGTTCAAGTGATTCTCCTGCCTCAGCCTCCCAAGTAGCTGGGATTACAGGCATGCACCACCACATCCAGCTAATTTTTTATTTTTAGTAGAGACGGGGTTTCTCCATGTTGGTCAGGCTGGTCTTGAACTCCCAACCTCAGATGATCTGCCTCAGCCTCCTAAAATGCTGGGATTACAGGTAGGAGCCACTGCACCCAAGCATAATTTATTTCGTTAGGATTTTTTTTTTAAATCTAGTCATAGGATACATTTGTCTGTACTTTCCTTTCTTGTAATATCTTTGGTTTTGGCATCAGAGTGATACTGACCTCAGAGCATGGGGAATTACCTCCCCCTGTCTGTTTTTTGGCAGTTTGTGAAGTGCTGTTTGTTTTTTTAAAGTTTGGTATAATTTGTCAGTGTAGCTGTCATCACCTGAACTTTTCATTGAAGAAATAATTTTTTTGTTACTAATTCAACCTTTTACTTGTTATAGATCTACTGCAATTTTCTATTTCTTTGTAAGTTAATCTATGTCTTTCAATAAGTTTTTGTTTTGTCTAAGTTAGATAAATTGTTAATATACAACTTTTCATAGTATTTCCTTATATTCCTTTTTATTTCTGGAAGGTATATAAAGACATCCTTTATTTCATTCCTGGTTTTAGTAATTTTAATACACTCTTTTTATCTTGGTTAATCTAGCTAAACCTTGTTCATTTTATTGACATGTTTAAAGAATCAACTTGTGGTTTTTATAGATTTTACCTATTGTTTTTCTAGTCTTTTAATCCCCAGTGTAACAAATTGAGAGATGGGAACTTTAAAAGGTGATTCACTCCTGAGGGCTCTGTTCTCAGGAATATATTCATGTTGTTAAAAAGGGAGTGGTTTTCTGATAAAAGGATGATTTGGGCCCTATTCCCTTCTTCATCTCTCATCCTTACATGGTGATGCCTTCCACCATGCTAAAAGGTCCCCAACAGATGTGTCCCCTCAATATTGAACTTGCCACTTGATCACGGCATATAATCCTTTCCACGTGTTTCCAGATTCAGTTTGCTGAGTTCAGCCTCTAGCACAATGAGCTAATAAATTTCTGTTCTTCATACATTCCCTAGTCTCGGGATTCTGTTACAGCAACACAAAATGGACTAAGACAAGTATGTATTGTGCTCCACAAAGTCATTCAAGGTTCTAAGTTTCTGGCAGCTCTAACATCCTCAGCTGGGAGCATAAAGGTCACTATAGGTGCTGACATTCAGTGATGATGGAGGCTGGCATCTAGTCAAAGGCTTGGCAGCAATGTAATTACTTATTCAAATTCCATTGGCCAAGACTCAGGGATATAGCCATACCTAACTAAATAGGGTGGGGGAGAATTTGGAAATGTAGTCTAATTTTATAGCAGGATGAAGAGGAAATGGTTTTGATGATTAGCTGCCAGCCTGTGCCATAAGAAATTAGCAAAAGTGGGGGATTTTGAGTAAAACATGTACAATATACACATGTATCTCCAGGCTTCCTGAGACAGGCAGAGATGTGGGAACATCTGGCCTGTTGGGGCAGACTTTCTGAAAGGCAGCGTTCTAGTTGTGATTCTTTGTACTCATTGATAGTATTTGGATCACATGACAGCTTATGTTCTGGGAAGTGTGTATGCAGCATTTGGCTTCAAACAAGTGCCCAGAAGACTGACACTTCTCGTTATAAATGATCAAGTTGGCTTTCTGTAAAATTAAGTCTTCAGTGTATTTAGTGTGAATCAGTTGCTCACAGTTAAGCTGATCATTAGTGTTCTGTATGTGCAGATCATAAATGCCAGATTCAGCAGTATGAAGGTAAAAACAGCATTGAGATTATCCCGCCTTCCTACCTCACATTAAACAAGAAATTCAGTATTATTAATGGTAAACAAATTAAGGCTGTGCACAGTCTCTCACGCCTGTATTCCAGCACTTTGGGAGGCCGAGGCGGGCTGATCACTTGAGGTCAGGAGTTCGAGACCAGCCTGGCCAACACGGTGAAACCCCCGTCTACTAAAAATACTAAAAGTAGCTGGGTGTGGTGGGATATGCCTGTAATCCCAGCTACTGGGGAGGCTGAGGCAGGAGTATCACCTGAACCCAGGAGGCAGGGGTTGCAGTGAGCTGAGATTGCGCCATTGCACTCCAGCCTGGGTGACAGAGCAAGACTCCATCTCGGGAAAAAAAAAGAAACTAATGTTGGTTTGTGTGTGCTCTCAACCTTGAAGGTTGGTCTCCTTGGAAAGACAATGATCATAATCAAAATTCTGTGGGTGAGAGGAATCAGGCAATGGATGTTTTCTGGAGAGGTTGCTAGAATTTTCAAGCAATGTTTCAATACTTGGGACCCAAAGAAAGCATACTTTTGTCCTATTAAGAGTTTTCCTTTATAACAATGAAAATGGCCTTGGTTCCCTTTCCAGAGAGATATTTGGAATCACACAGAAAAGGGTGCTGTCATCCCTTTTCTTGTAGCAAGCATCAGCTACAAGTAAAGAATAGGGATGTGTGATTCCAACCAACCCTCTGTTCTTTACTAATAATAACTGATATTACTAGTAAATGATAACCCATTGGCAAGAACTGTCAGGGCTGATGTCAGTGACAGACCATCCTCTGATGCCTGATTTTCAGCCAGGAGCATCCTTCCCCACTCTGTCCTTGCTTGTAACATTAGAGGGTGCAGAGATCCAAAATATTCACTGCCATCCCTGCCACTACCCCAGTTCCCAGTAAATAATACAGTGGCTGGCAAAGGGTTAAAATCAGCTTTATTAATGGATTGGAGAGCACAGCTGTGATCTGAGGCCTAAGCGAGGTTCATTTCTTCTTCTTCTCTGAAGTGACGGCTCCTGAGCCCACTGGGTTGGGCCTACTGAACTTACGCACCCAGTCACAGATGGAAGCTGGAACATGGAGAGCCGAGTCCTGGCTGAGCTCACCACGGGCATGTTCTGCTGGGTCTGTTTACTGCATGGAGACTGCAAGCCCAAATGCAGGTCCAAGAGAAAAAGAGAGAGAAAAGAAGCAGGAGGACAAGTAAGCAGGGACCTTCAGCACATTGTTTCCGCCCAGTAGAGAAAGATGACCCGGAGGGACTCAAGCCCCACCAACCACAACCACCCCAGAAGTCACCAGAGGGGTGGAAGCCTCTCCCCAGTAGTTTTTCTCCAGAGTGGGAATGTTAGTGGGAGATTCTTACTCTATTTGGCTAAGGGGAAAATGTAGGAATAAAGCAAGAGTTTCCTCCATGCAGTGAGGTTGGGTCAGGAGTTCAATGAACTGCTCAATGAGTAAGTGGCCAAGCGCTGTTTTGTGTGAGTCTTTTGGGTCAGCAGATGCTATCCCAAACAAAGGCACTGGCTTGAGATGCTGGAGCCAGAACTATAGGTCCATAAGATACCTCACACTTGAATTCTAATCACTGAATTCCTTTTCTTGCCTGCAGTCTACAGCCTGTACTTTTAAGGACTGCTGATTAAAAACCTGACACACAAGAAGCCACCACAGGTGAGGGCCAATTCTGCTTGACAGCTATTGTATTCCTACAATTAAGAGAACTTTCCCACCCCTTTTGTTTCACTCCTGGTAACACCTTTTGCTTTAACTGTCAGGTATGGAGGTGGTACCTTTGCGCCAAAACCTAAGCGGAAGACATGTCAAGGCTACACTGGACACAGGGAAGAACAGAAGTGGAAATGTGAGATCCCTCCAGGGCGCATAAATGCATACAGAAGTTTAATGGCAAGCGTCGCAGAGTTGAGTCTGATGCAGCTCCCGCACAGGACAGCACCCTTTTCTGGTCAGTGGTCATAACATATATATTTAAATTGCATTTTAGGTTTTGGGGTACATGTGAAGAACATGCGAGATTGTTACAAAGACAGTGTGATTTGCTGTCTTCCTCCCCATCACCTATATCTGGCATTTCTCCCCATGCTCTCTCTCCCCAACTCCCCACTCCGCCGCTGTACCTCTCCTATTTCCCCCCGACAGACCCTGAGCGTGTGATGCTCCCCTCCCTGTGTCCACGTGTTCTCAACGTTCAACACCCACCTATGAGTGAGAACATATGGTGTTTGATTTTCTGTTCTTGTGTCAGTTTGCTGAGAATGATGGTTTCCAGGTTCATCCATGTCCCTAAAAAGGACACAAACTCATTGTGTTTTATGGCTGCTTAGTAATCCATGGTATATATGTGCCACATTTTCCCTGTCCAGTCTATCATCGATGGGCATTTGGGTTGGTTCCAGGTCTTTGCTATTGTAAACAGTGCTGCAATGAACATTCCTGTGCATGTGTCCTTATAGTAGAACAATTTATAATCCTTTGGATATATACCCAGTAATGGGATTACTGGGTCAAATGGAATTTCTATTTCTAGGTCCTTGAGGAATCGCCACACTGTCTTCCACAATGGTTGAACTAATTTACACTCCCACCAACAGTGTAAAAGTGTTCCTATTTCTCCACATCCTCTCCAGCATCTGTTGTCTCCAGATTTTTTTAATGATCGCCATTCTAACTGGCATGAGATGGTATCTCGATGTAGTTTTGATTTGCATTTCTCTAATGACCAGTGGTGATGAGCATTTTTTCCTATGTTTATTGGCCTCATGTATGTTTTCTTCTGTAAAGTGTCTGTTGATATCCTTCGCCCACTTTTGAATGGGCTTGTTTTTTTTCTTGTAAATCTGTTTTAGTTCTTTGTAGATTCTGGATATCAGTCCTTTGTCAGATGGGTATATTGCAAAAATTTTTTCCCATTCTGTTGGTTGCCAATCCACTCTAATGACTGTTTCTTTTGCTGTGCAGAAGCTGTGGAGTTTGATTAGGTCCCATTTGTCTATTTTGGCTTTTGTTGTCAATGCTTTTGGTGTGTTGGTCATGAAGTCCTTGCCTATGTCCTGAATGGTTTTGCCTAGATTTTCTTCTAGGGTTTTTACGGTGTTAGGTCTTATGTTTCAGTCTTTGATCCATCTGGAATTAATTTTAGTGTAAGGTGTCAGGAAGGGTTCCAGTTTCTGCTTTCTGCACATGGCTAGCCAGTTTTCCCAACACCATTTATTAAACAGGGAATCCTTTCCCCATTGCTTGTTTTTGTCAGGTTTGTCAAAGATCAAGTGGTTGTAGTAGATGTGTGGTGTTGCCTGCGAGGCCTCTGTTCTGTTCCATTGGTCTATATCTCTGTTTTGATGCCAGTACCATGCTGTTTTGATTACTATAGCCTTGTAGTATAGTAATGTCCGGTAGTGTGATGCCTCCAGGTTTGTTCTTTTTGCTTAGAATTGACTTGGCTATGCGGGCTCTCTTTTGGTTCCATATGAAGTTTAAGGTGGTTTTTTCCAGTTCTGTGAAGGAGGTCATTAGTAGCTTGATGGGGATAGCATTGAATCTGTAAATTGCTTTGGACAGTATGGTCATTTTCACGATATTGATTCTTCCTAACCATGAGCATGGAATGTTTCTCCCTCTGTTTGTGTCCTCTCTTATTTTATTGAGCAGTAGTTTGTAGTTCTCCTTGAAGAGGTCCTTTATGTTCCTTGTTAGTTGTATACCTAGGTATTTTATTCTCTTTGTAGCAATTGTGAATGGCAGTTTGTTCTTGATTTGGCTCTCTTTAAGTCTGTTATTGGTGTATAGAAATGCCTGTGATTTTTGCACATTGATTTTGTATCCTGAGACTTTGCTGAAGTTGCTTATCAGTTTCAGGAGATTTGGGGCTGAGACGAGGGGTGTTGTAAATATACAATCATGTCATATGCAAATAGAGATCATTTGACTTCCTCCTTTCCTATTTGAATACCCTTGATCTCTTTTTCTTGCCTGATTGCTCTGGCTAGAACTTCCAATACTATATTGAATAGGAGTGGTGAGAGAGGGCATCCTTATCTAGTGCCACATTGCAAAGGGAATGTTTCCAGTTTTTGCCCATTCAATATGATATTGGCTGTTGGTTTGTCATACGTAGCTTTTATTATTTTGAGATATGTTCCATCAATACCTAGTTTATTGAGGGTTTTTAGCATAAAGGGCTGTTGAATTTTGTCAAAGGTCTTCTCTGCATCAATTGAGTTAATCATGTTGTTTTTGTCTTTGGTTCTGTTTATGTGGTGAATTACATTTATAGACTTGCTTATGTTGAACCAGCCTTGCATCCCGAGGATGAAGCCTACTTGATCATGGTGGATAAGCTTTTTGATGTGCTGTTGCTATTGGTTTGCCAGTATTTTATTGAAAATGTTTGCATCTATGTTCATCATAGATACTGGCCTGAAGTTTTTTTTTCTTGCTGAGTCTCTGCCGGGTTTTGGTATCAGTATGATGTTGGTCTTATAAAATGATTTGGGAAGGATTCCCTCTTTTTGGATTGTTTGTAATAGTTTCAGAAGTAATGGTACCAGCTCCTCTTCGTATGTCTGTTAGAATTCAGCTATGAACCCATCTGGACCTGCACCTTTTTTGGGTGATAGGCTCTTAATTGCTGCCCCAAATTCTGCTTGTTATTGGTCTGTTCAGGGTTTTGACTTCTTCCTGGCATGGGAGGATGCAAGTGTCCAGGTTTATCCATTTCTTCCAGGTTTACTAGTTTATGTGCATAGAGTTGTAATAATCTCTGATGATGGTTTGTATTTCTGTAGAATCTGTGGTGATAGCCCCTTTATCGTTTTTTATTGCATCTATTTGATTATTCTCTCTTTTCTTTTTTATTAATCTAGTTACTGGTCTGTGTGTTGTTGATCTTTCCAAAAAACCAGCTCCTGGATTTATTGATTTTATGAAGAGATCTTTGTGTCTCTATCTCCTTCAGTTCTGCTCTGATCTTAGTTATTTCTTGTCTTCTGCTAGCTTTTGGATTTTTGATCTTGCTCCTCTAGCTCTTTCAATTTTGACGATAGGGTGTCAATTTTAGATCTTTCCTTGCTTCTCATGTGGGCATTTATTGCTATGTATTTTCCTCTAGACGCTGCTTTAAATCTGTCCCAGAGATTCTGGTATGTTGTGTCTTCGTTCTCGTTGGTTTCAAAGAACATCTTTATTTCTGCCTTCATTTAATTGTTTATCCAGTCAACATTCAAGAGTCAGTTGTTCAGTTTCTATCAAGCTGTGTGGTTCTGAGTTAGTTTCTCAATTCTGAGTTCTAACTTGATGGCACTGTGGTCTGAGAGACTGTTTCTTATGATTTCTGTTCTTTTGCATTTGCTGAAGAGTGTTTTACTTTCAATTATGTGGTCAATTTTAGAGTAGGTGTGATGTGGTGCTGAGAAGAATGTATATTCTGTGGATTTGGGGTGGAGAGTTCTGTAAATGTCTATTAGGTTTGCTTGGTCCAGGTCTGAGTTCAAGTCCTGGATACCCTTGTTAATTTTCTGTCTCGTTGATCTGTCTAATATTGACAATGGGGTGTTAAAGTCTCCCACTATTATTGTGTGGGAGTCTAAGTCTCTTTGTAAGTCATTAAGAACTTGCTTTATGTATCTGGGTGCTTCTGTATTGGGTGCGTATATATTTAGGATCATTAGCTCTTCTTGTTGCATTGATCCTTTTACCATTCTGTAGTGTCCTTCTTTGTCTCTTTTGATCTTTGTTTGTTTAAAGTCTATTTTATCAGAGACTAGTATTGCAACTCCTGCTTTTTTTTTTTCCTTTCCATTTGCTTGGTAAATCTTCCTCCATCCCTTTATTTTGAGCCTTTGTGTATCCTTGCATGTGAGATGGGTTTCCTGGATACAGCAATGAACTGTGTTCATTCCTTTTTACCCTTTTTTCTCTAATCTTGCCTTCTCTTTTTACTTTATTGAGTTGAGCTTTGACCTCTGATATCCTTTCTTCTGCTTGGTCAATTCGGCTGTTGAAACTTGTGTATGCTTTGTGAAGTTCTTGTGCTGTTTTTTTCAGCTCCATCAGTTCACTTATATTTCTCTCTAAGTTGTTTATTCTCATTAGCATTTCATCAAATCTTTTTTCAAGGCTCTTAGTTTCTTTGCATTGGGTTAGAACATGTTCTTTTACCTCAGAGAAGTTTCTTATTACCCACCTTCTGAAGCCTGTTTCTGTCAATTCATCACACTTGTTCTCCATCCAGCCTTGTTCCCTTGCTGGTGAGGATTTGTGATCCCTTGTAGGAGGAGAGGCATTCTGGTTTTGGGCGTTTTCATCCTTTTTGTGCTGGTTTGATTTATCCACCTGTCGTCTTTGTAGTTGTTCGCTTTCAGATTGGGTATCTGAGTGGACGCCAGTTTGTTGATGATGAAGTTATTTCTGTTTCTTAATTTCCTTTTAACATTCAGGCCTCTCTGCTGTAGGACTGCTGGGGTCCACTCCAGGACTTCCTTGCCTTGGGGTCACCTGCAGTGGCTGCAGAACTATAAGGGTTGCTGCCAGTTTCTTCCTCTGCTATCTTTGTCCCAGAAGGATACCCGCCTGATGTCAGTCTGATCTCTCCTTTATGAGGTGACTCTCTGGATATACAGGGGTCAGGGAGCTGCTTGAGGAGACAATCTGTACTTTATAGGAGCTCAAGTGCTGAGCTGTGAGCTCCATTTTTCATTTGGAGCTGCTAGCCAGGTATGTTTAAGTCTGCTGCAGCAGAACTCATAAATCCCTTTTTGTTTTTCCCCAGGTGCTCTGTCCTTGGGAGTTAGGGCTTTATTTATAAGTTTCTGTCTGCTGCTGCCTTTTTTCGGGGCTGCCCTGCCCAGTGAGGAGGCAGCTTAGTCACTGTCTGCCTACAGAGGCTTTGCTGAGCTGCTGTGGGCTCCACCCATCTGTGGTGTGAACTTCCTTGCAGTCCTT